AATAATAGTATTATAGGGGTTGGAGCAATGGTAAAGTAGATATGTGTTTGCCTTGCACATGACTGACCTGTTTTCTGTCCCTGACATCCCTGAGCACTACCAGGAATAGGGCAGAGTCAGGAAATGACCCTTGAGCATTGCAATTAAAAGATTTTAAGACAGTAAAAAAGAACTTTATTTTAACCAAAGTTTGAATTTTAAAAAAACCAGTGATTTCAAGATCTGAGATACTTAGTGTGGCAATATTTTCTCATGAGAATTATTAAAATCAAGTCCTGCCTTAAGTACCATAGACTGTGTAATGTTTTTATTTCTTTGAATGTTGATTATGTTCAGGTAGTATAAAGACTAAACACTTCTATAGTGTGCTGTTAATTTTAGTTGCAGTAAAGAGTGAAATCCCAGCGGTTCTTCTCAGTCATTTTATGGTCGTCTTGTTAGATTAGAGATTAAAGAACTAGCCTCAATTTACAAGTGTGGGTTGACATTTCAGACCTGGACCTTTTCCAAGAGTTGATCTCATTTTATCCAAAAACACTAGAAATCAAGCACACCCAACTTGGATTGACATAATTTAATTTGCCACATTAGTTAAGTCACAATTAACTGTGACTTAGTTAAGTCACAACTAACTTGAAGTCTGTGTTAGACTTCCGTGATCTGTCTAATGCAAGAGTTTGTGTGATAATTATTGAAGTAAAAATCTCAGTTTATTATTCAAATTAAAAACAATATACCCACCTGTTTTTTCTCATAAAGATTTAGTTTTGTATATTGAAATTCATTAAGGTGCCAGTAGTTTTATTTATTGCCCTCCCCTCAAGTGACTAGCAAAAGAGAATTTTTCCATGATATATTTGTGAAACTTCAGTTCTTAAGTGGCATTTTTGCTCCAATTGAAAAATATAACATAAAACATCAAGCTGGGACTTGAAAGTTACAAGTGTGCTCCTGAAGCTGTTGTTCAAATGAAAAACCACTGGAAAATCCTATTGCATTTGTTACAGTAAATTTGTAGAGTCTGTATTGTGTGAAGTTGCTGGGAGTCTCTAGGGATAAAGAAGGAATAAACCGGAGATAAATATTCAAAGTTGCAATCCCCCCTTCTCATAAATGAAAATAAAATATACTCTCTATTCAGGACTCAATGAAAAAGCTAAAGTTCAGTTATTTCAGTCCAACCTATGACATTTTGAGAATGTCTTTTATTTATTCACCACTATTGCCAAAATTCCATACCTGAAAATCTTTGAAAATGTATAGAACAGCAGTGGAGAGAGTGGCATCCTTGATCTTAGAGGGAAGGCTCTCAGTTTTTCCCCATTGAGGAAGATGCTTGCTGTAGGCTTGTGGTAGATGGCTTTAACTATTTTGAGGAAGTTCCTTCTATACCTATTTTGTTGAGTGTTTTCATCATAAATGGGTGTTGGATCTTGTCAAATGCTTTCTCTGTATCTGTTGATATGATCATATGATTTTTATCTTTTCTTTTGTTGATATGATGGATTATGTTGTTTGATTTCCGAATGTTAAACCATCCTTGCATCCCCGGAATGAATCCTACCACTTCATGGTATATAATCTTTTTGATGAGTTGTTGAATTCTATTTGCTAGTATTTTGTTGAGAATCTTCGCATCCGTTTTCATCAGGGATATTGGTCTGTACTTTTCTTTTCTCGTGGTGTCTTTGTTTCCTTTTGGTATTAGAGAGATATGAGCTTCATAGAAACTGTTTGGGAGAGTTTCTGTTTCTTCAATTTCCTTGAAAATCTTAAGAAGAACTGGCAGTAGGTCCTCTTTAAATGTCTGGAAAAATTCTCTAGTGAATCCATCTGGACCTGGACTTTTGTTTTTTGGGAAACTTTTGATTACAGTTTCAATTTCCTTAATATTAATAGGACTGTTCAGGTATTCTAGATCTTCTTGATTCAGTCTTGGGAGATTATAGGAATCTAGGAATTTATCCATTTCTTTTAGGTTCTCTTGTTTTGTGGCATACAGACTTTCAAGTAGTCTCTGATGATCTTTTGAATTTCTTTGGTTTCTGTTGTGATATCCCCCTTCTCATTTCTCTTTCGGTTTATTAGTGTTTCTCTCTCTCTCTCTCTCTCTCTCTCTCTCTCTCTCTCTCTCTCTCTCTTTGTGAGTCTTGCTAGTGGTTTATCTATCTTGTTTATTTTCTTCTAGAACCAGCTCTTGGTTTCATTGATCTTTTGGATATTTTTTTTTTGAGTTTACATGTCGTTGATTTCTGCTCTGTTTTTTATGATATCTTTCATTCTGCCTGGTTTGGGTTCCTTTTGTTGGTTCTTTTCCAAGATCTTGAGACGTGAAGTAAAGTTATTTATGTGGGCCCTTTCTTCCTTCCTAAGAAATGCTTGCAGAGCTATAAATTTTCCCCTTAACACGGTTTTAGCTGCATCCCATAGGTTCTGGTAGCTCGTGTCTTCATTATATTTGTTTCCAGGTGTCTTTATTTCTTCCTTGATTTCTTTCCTGACCCACTCATTCAACATTGAGTTGTTTAATTTCCAGGTGTTTGATTTGGTTTTCTGCATCTGTACATAATTAAGTTCTATCTTCAGTGCATCGTGGTCTGAGAAGAAAAGTGATACAATATCTATCTTCCTGATTCTGTTGAGGTATGCTTTGTGGCCCAGTGCATGGTCTATTCTGGAAAATGTTCTATGTGCACTGAAAAAGAATGTGTATTCTTTTTTTTTGGGGGGGGGGTTTAGAATCCTATATTGATCTATTAGTTCTCTGTCTTCTATTTCTTCCTTCAGAGTCATTATTTTCTTGCTGATTTTTAATCTTCTTGATCTCTCCAGGGGTGATAGGCGGTGTTGAAATCTCCCAGTACTATTGTGTTGCTTGTAATGTCCTTCTCAAGGTCTGTTAGCAGTTGTTGTAGGTATTTGTCTGGTCCCTGATTGGGTGCATATACGTTTAGGAGTGTGATTTCTTCCTGCTGTACCTATCCCTTGATTATATAAAACGGCCTTCACTGTCCCTTCTAATATTTTTTAACCTGAAATCTGTGTTGTCCAATACTAGTAAAGCCACTTCAGCTTTTTTGAGGGGGTTGTTTGCTTGCAGGGTTATTTTCTGTCCTTTGACTTTGAGTCTCTATTTTTTCTGATTGTTCAGTTGTGTTTCTTGTAGACAGCAGAATGTTTGGTTCTGTCTCTGAATCCATTTTGCCACTCTGTGTCTTTTAATTGGTGAATTATACCATTGACGTTGAGAGAGATTGTTTTTATGGATTTTTTTTTATGTCATCTTTCTGTAAGGATTTGTTGTGCTTGTAGGGGGTTTGTCTTGTCTTACAGTAGCCCCTTTAACCCTTATTTTAGGTTTGGTTTTGAGTCTATGAAATTCCTGAACTGTTGTTTATCCAGAAAATAGTGTACCGTTCCTTTGAGTTTGAGTGAGAGTTTAGCCAGATAAAGTATTCTTGGTGAAGCGTTCATTTCAGTTTTTTTCACTGTATCCCACAATTGCCTTTGGGCTTTGAGGGTTTCCTCTGATAGTTCTGCTGTGAATCTAAGGGGTACCCCTTTGAATGTGATTTCCCTCTTTGACCTTGTTGCTTGCAGTATTGTGTCTGTATTTGTGGCATCCATCATTCTACCTATGATATATCTTGGAATGTTTTTGTTAGGGCCTTTTTTAGCTGGCACTCCGGCTTTTTCAATGGGACTGTTTCCCTGACCTTCTAGTACTCCAATGATTCTGATGTTGTTCCTCTTAGAATCATCCCCTAGGACTCTGATTCACTCTAGGGCTATTTTGAGGTCTCTTGCCATTGTTTTTTTGTTGCCTGTATGCTTCCTGTAGCTCATTTTCCAGCTCACCAATTCCGTCTTCAGCTGTAGCCATTCTACTGTTGAGCACACAGACTGAGTTTTTTATTTCATCTACAGAATCTTTTATTCGTGACATTTCTGTGTGTAGATTTCCAATTTCTGCTCTCATTTCTTTCTGTATTTTCTCGATTGTTTCTTTAATGTCTTAATTTAATTTACTGGATATCTGTCTCACTGTTTCATGAGTTCATCAAACATCTTCATTACTTCATATCTGAATTCTTTCTCAGAGAGCTCCCTTAGGTGAGTAACACCTAAATGAGGCTTCTGGTCTCTTTATCGTCCTCTCTTTGTGGTGGAGATTTGCGTTGTTTTTTCATGTTGTTGTGGTGGTATGGAGACTGAGATATTACACGAGATTGCTGGGTATGAATAATTACCTGTAGCTGCCTCAGCGTCCACCGGCCCAAAATTAGTCCACGCCCACTTCTGAAGAGACCACGCCCCCGTGGGTACCTGGGGTGTGTGTGTGTGTGTGTGTGTGTGTGTGTGTGTGTGTGTGTGTGTGTGTGGCGGGGGTACAACCTGGGGAAGTTAGAAAGCCGGGCATCGTGTTGGGGATGAACTGGAAGAGGCTCAGGGACAGAGGGCGGCCTATGATCCTAGAGGATGCCTGGGGCGTATGTGGGAGGAAATCGGAGTCCCGGGTTCAAATAATGACTGACCTCGGGAGGAGAAAGCCAGGTGCTGTTTAGGGGACGAACTGGAAGAGGCCTCTCTTCTGTTTTAAAACAGTAAAGAAATGATCTTGATAGTATAGTTTATACATATGCTAATTCAAGCAACCTTTTGGCTTCCAAAAGTGTTTTATGTTATTTGGCTAATACAAGGCTTATACTAATATGACAAAAAAAATAAAGAGCCAAAGAAAAATTGTCAATAATTGGTTTTAGCCTTTAGTGTTGAAAATCTTCCAATCAGTTCTAGTTCAAGTTGTTTGTAAGAATCAAAATCAGTGTTAAATTTTCCTATCCCTCACTCTTGCCCATTTTCTCAAAATAAACTACTGGGCTTAAGGTGGTAATTAGGAAAATATAAGAAGTGAAGCTGAATTAAGTTAACCACTGAAAATTTCTGAATTCATGGATGGGATGGCAAATTCACAATTGTGGATACTTCTTTCTCCTCAGGATATTCCTGCCGGTTGGTATCACAAAATATGGCCCTTATCCTGTTGAAGGAGGATTCTTTGGATGTAAGTATCTTTTCAAAGGTTTTATCTTTATCATTCGACATGAAAATAACAATTTTAGAACATCTCTTCATGATAAAACTTTTATTTTGCAGCAAGAAGGAAACTTGAGGACATAGGTAGCAGGAAATGTGCACAGGTGAAGGGATGGGTGTAGGGACAACTTTGTAACTGTGTATCTCACCCTGATTCAGTAAACAAACAAACTCCCTTAATTTTGCTTGCTTAGAATTATACATACAAATGTGATTTAATTTTTTTTATTGAGAACAGTTTATATGATTGTGTGTGTTTTAGGATGAGGTATAGTTTCACATCTTCTCAAAGTATTGTTACCATATCACAGCCACTATTCAAATATCAATGTTCCTCCAACAAAAAAATGAGTAGTTTGAATCTGGTTTAACATCCCACGATGTTATTAGATAAATAGTTAACTCCAGCCTTGGTTATAAAGGAGATGTTTAGAATATTCTTTTCAGTACAAACTTTAAGTGACAGTAGTTGTTTAAATTAATATTGTGATGGGATGTTTTGCACTTATTGCTCCAACATTCCAATGCTACTAGCTCATGGTGACCTGAGCAGCATGGCTCTCTGAACATTCTGCTTACATTTATCTACCCCATAGTGGCTTAAGATACTTATAAGAACAGAGGTGGAAGCTGATTTGGAGGGTATTCAGTGACCCAGGAAATAGTTTGGTTTGACGATAAGGTTGTGGTGTTGGTGGCGGTGGTGGTGGTGGTGTGTGTGTGTGTGTGTGTGTTTTGTATATCTCTCCTGAGTTCCTTAGAATAAATGTAAGATCCATGGAGCAAGAATATGACTGTTTATAAGTGGAATATTTAATAGCAAGATAGTACTTTGCTAGCTTGTTGGTGTTTGCATGAATAAAATAGTGAATTTTTAATCTGGAGCTTCTTTCTTTCCTGATAATTTCATAATTCCATAGCATCCACAAACTTAAAATAAGCCTTCATTTTTGGAGGCAACTTATTTCCTACAAAGCAAAGATGGACTTTTATTCTAAATAGTATTTATAAGACTTGCAGTAAACTTGAGCTTTTTGTTCTACTTATTCCAAAGAGTGATTTCTAATACAAACTGAGAAGATTTTATGGATGGTGTCTGACTTTACTTAGTCATTGTTCAAAATATTTCATCTGGGGTGGACAGATAGTATAGTGGGGGTTAAGTGCTTACTTTGTACCTTGTTTGATCCTTAGCAAAGTCAGGGGTGAGAAATAAGCTTTGGTTCTGCCAGATGTGGTCCTAACACTTCTAATTCCCTCCTACCCCCAACCATAGAATGCTTCTTTCTTATCCAGCTTTGAAGAAGATTAATTTTTGTGTGTTTCAGTGTTTACTGAGAATAGCTTCCTTTTCTGTTTGTTGTTGTTTTATAATAATGAAAAAAACACTCCATATTTTTGACTGGCATTCTCCTCCCTCTTCTCTTTTTTCAGCTCCCCATTTTTAAAAATTCTCATTCTTTTAGTTGCATTCAAGTTATTTTACTGTTTCTCACTCTAATGTCATTTGGTAGAATAAAAGCAGTCAGTTAGATGTACAATGCATCCTTGTGCAGTACAGTATATACAGATGTGCCTCCTTGGTGGCTGTCCTGAGATGAGCTTTTAAGGCTTTAGGGCTCTGATGTTAAAGCAAACAAGAGAAAGGAAGACAGGAAGTGGTAGAAGAACTAGAAACCGGGACCAAAGAGATAGTACAACAATTAAGGCACTGGCTTTGCATATGGCCGGCCCAGGTTTGATTCCCACATGGTCCCCTGCAACCACTAGTAGTGATCCCTGAGCACAGAGCCTGGAGTAGGCCCTGAGCATGACCAGATGCGCCCTCATCCTAACCCCCGTATAAAATCACTGTCATTGTCACTGTCCTCCTGTTGTTCATCGATTTGCTCGAGCGGGCCCAGTAAAGTCTCCATTTTGAGACTTGTTGTTACTGTATTTGGAAAATTGAATACATCGCGGGTAGCTTGCCAGGCTTTGCCGTGCGGACGAGATACTCCCGGTAGCTTGCCAGGCTCTCCGAGAGGCGGAGGAATCGAACGCGGCTTGACCAGGCTGGCTGCACACAAAGCAAATGCCCTATCGCTGTGCTATTGCCTTATAAAATAAGAAAAAAAAAAGAATTAGAATCATTAGGCCTGGCATCCACTGCTTTATCTCAATGAAAGTGCGAGGAAATAAATGTCTTCCCGTGAAGATCCATTGGCTGGCACCCATCTTCTTCACTTGAGCAAATCAAAATTTAAGGGTAATGCTCCAGATGATTATGAATGATTAGAAAATCTCTCTTTCTCTCTCTCATTCACTCAACTGTTGCCAAAATGACAGCTAAATTCCATGAAATAGATAAGCTAGTGAGTTCTAGGAAGCCTCACTGTGTTGGGGGATCAACCATGGAGCCCAGAAAGGCATTATATAATTGTTCAGATGCTAGAAGAAAAGGGGGTTTTCTTTTTGGGGTGTTAAAAAGTAGTAAGAAATATCACCTTTATTGCTAATACATATGAGTTTCAACTGGCATATTCGTTCTTTATTTCTGGCATATTCTCAAGAAATGAGCGTGGGAGGAATGAGCAGGAGAAGGGAGAATGGAGTCCTCAGAGGAGGGGCAGTGCAGGGATTCTTTTATTTTGTTTGTTTTGAGGCCACACAGGGTGGTACTTAGGAATTTTTCCAACTTCTGTGCTCAGGAATTAATCCTGATGAGTTTGAGGGACTATATGGAATCCCGGGATCAAACTTCGGTGGACTGTTGCAAGACAAGGGCCTTACCTGCTGTGCTATCCCTCCTCCTCCCCCCCCCCCCGTCCTCCCCACCCCCCAGTGCAGGGATTCTTGCACTTTGGTCTCATTTAGCTTCTAGAGAAATGTGGCCATTTGTTTGTTTTGGTTAAATGGATTTATTCAGGACTATTTTTTAGTTTTGGTGAAACTGACTGGCATCAAATGGCCCTTAAAAGGATTCCTATAAAAAAGGGAAAAAAAAAGAGAAATTGAGGTTAACAATAGTGTAAGTGAAAGTCACAGTAAAGCATTGTTTGACATGTGTGTGCTAGTTCAAGCTTTTCTTTGGCAACTTGATGAGTTCAATCAATGATAAGATCTGACAAGTTAAATAAATTTAAAAATTACCCACAAAGCTATTATCATTAATCATGACTCTTTCCCCAAGTACATCTGGTATCTTGCAATATTAAAAGTGATACTATGAAACTATCAGAATTGGCTGGAATTTAAAAACTAACACTTATGAACAAGAGAATAAAAGCTATAATTTGATCAGCAACTTATAAAAACCATAACATTAAAAGAATATGGTACTGTTTAAAATTTCACTATTTTAAAGACTATAATACTCTCAACAATTTCACTATTAACTGGTGATGTTTGTTGATAAAAGATAAAAAAAAGTATACAGACTTTTGGGAAGTGCTTTTTTGTCCTACTGAAATACTATAGAGAAAATAACACTGTAATTTGTATGGAAGACCTACTGAGAATCTTTCTAGAGTTTCAAAGCAACAAGTAGTTGGACAGATTATGAAATATAAGATATTTATTCCATATCTCCATGAAATTCAGCTGTTTCTGACATGTTACTGTATAAATTACACAGTATTCTTGTCAAGTCACAAAAAGAAGGATATATTTTTCCTGAGAAGAAATTTTAATTCATTATTGTAAAACATAGAAAACTGCTTAGGAGTTTTAATAATATTTATTGTAATTCCTTTGTAAAAAATAAATGTTACCGAATTCTCCAAATTTTTTTCTTACATATTTTTTTGAATTAAAGTGAGATACACTGTAATTCAAACTTGAACTTAATGAGTTGAGTCAGTGGGAAACTTAAAACTTCTATGTACTACACTTTTTATAATGTATTGGTCATGTTTTTGTTTCCTACACACAGAGTTGGTGGTAGTTTTTGTTTTTCTGTAGTTACTTAGAAAATTATCTCCATATATTAGGTCTATTTGTGGTAGATAATCCAATCGATTTATTTGTGATAAATGATCCTTGACTAAGGCATGGGCCTTGGGCCAGCATTTGGTCTATATGCGGGGCTGATGGTGTCCTTAGAAGCATTGCTTGCACTGAGTGACAGGCACCTGACAGAATCCTCACACCCCTCACTGCTGCTGCTTCCTCAGGGAAGAGGACCAGTGATGGCAGGGTGAGCCATGGAGGAATAGCGTGAAAGATGTTTGACGTCAACAACTGGCATTTCCCAGGCCGCGCAAACAACCTGCCTTGCTCTTCCAAGGAACCCAGGGAATTCTGAGAGAAAAGATTCTTCTGTTGGGAGCTGGAGTCAGTGGGATTCCTTTGTCAGTGACTTTTCTGAGCACTCTTGTCCCTGTGCGTGGTGACCTGTGGAGGCCTGGGCATATTTGGTGGGGAAGGACTTGTGAGACGTGTCTGGGACAAGCGGTGGACCTATTTCACTTGATTAATTGGAATGTAGCCATCGAGCTTTGTTCTAGGGATAATTTAGATTTTTATGGCAATCTAATAGTCTTAAACCTCATTGAACCTCTTCAGAATTCATATTCAATGAAAGCAGGAATATGTAGATTTAAATGAGAAAAAAAGAAAAACTACTTAGGCTCTTATTATTCAAAACACCACAAATGAAGGATTTGGTCAGTAGTCAAGGAAATTTAGTTTCTGTTGCAAGTAAAGGAATATATTTTATATCTGTATTTATATATACTTATATATCTTCTGTACAAAATATGTATTTCTAACTGTCTTATATTCAAAATAGCTATATGTATCATAACTTACATATATTCATATATGTATGAACAATAACATGTATGTTATATATTTAACATTTTAATATAAAATTATACATTAAACTTTAATTATATGATTGTAGTTTTGCCTTTTTTCACACTGACAGTGCAACTATAAGCATATGCTATAAATGTTTGTGTATCTGTAGCTGGGTCTGGAGCGATA